ATCCCAATCCAGTTTTGACCCCAATCCCTCCACAGCAGGGATGGGGCTGTGGCAGCTGAGCTGTGCCTGGATTTTGCCTCTGTTACCCAAAACCATCGAGGAGGAGGCTCCATCCCCATCCCCACACCAGGATTTTTCCCAAGGAAATCTTGTCCTGCCTGAGTTAAACTCCCCCCTGATCCAAGGAGTGACAACCCCTGCACTTCCTCTTAGGAACATTAATGCAAAGGCTAAAATCCCTGTGTAAATAGGGATCTTTAGGAGTGTAAACAGAAACACAGATTGAAGCTGCCATTATTGATTTTTTTTTTCCCTCCACACACATGCCAGGGTCAGGAAGTGTTTTCACTATTGATCCATCAATAATGCTTAGGAAACCCAAAATGCAAACCAGGACCTTGGCTAAGGAAAAGGCTGCTGCACTGCCAAAGGCTCAGCTCCCTGGGAGAGGTGAACTGGATGGGAATGTGGCACATCCCTCCCCTCCCCTTGGGCTGTGCTTGTAGCAGCAGCTCCCTGGCCCTCTTTGGGGCACACAGAAACTCCAGGGCAGCAGCAAATCCCAGTTAAAACCTTCTCCTTGACACATCAGTGAGCAGAACTGAGCAGAAAACCTGCAGCAGAGTGAAATCCTCAGCAATCAGGGCCTCACTGTGTGGCAGCAAAGCATTTGTAAGGCTGTTACCTGAATTTAACTCAATTAACAATCATTTCCAGTGGCTGGCATGCCAAGAGATAAACAGCATTGGAAATTCAATCTGTGCTGTTTCTTTTAAGTGACCAAATAAATCACAATCCTGAGTGAGCAGCAAATCTTCTGGGATGAGCTTTTGGGAGACCCAGGGCTGCTGCAAAAGAACTGCCCTGACCCCAGAGAGACAGCAAGGGCAGGAAGAAGCCAAAAAGCCCAGTTAAAGACTCAAAAAAGATTTTAAAAAACACCCACAAGTTTCTAGACAAGGTTACCTGCAAGAGCTCAGCATCCCTACCTGCCTCATTCTTACCTGGGTCACTGGTCCCAACTGGACCTGAGCATGAGGGGATGGAATGAGCAGAAAGGGTTAATGGTCCAAGAGCAAATTATAATTTTTTGGAGCCCTGAATGGTTTGGGATCTACTCCTTAAAGCCTGCCCAGGGTCAGTGGGAGGATTGTGGGGGCCAGGATGGATTTGTTTAAAGAACTGTCCCCAAATTTAAAGTCTCAAATCCCAGCTCCTGCTGCTGCTCCTTCTCCCTACGACCCACAGCTCTTCCTCATCCTCAAGGGATGGGCTGAAGGCTCTGGGAACAGCAAGGGGATCCCTCCTTGGGCACTTTCTCCTCCTGGCTGAGAGGATCCACTCTCAGGGCAGAGCTGCCCTTGCTGGGGATGTGGGGCTGCCAGGAGCTCTCTGTGTGCCCCTGGTCCACCCCACCCTCCTGGGCCTCTTTTCCTTTCTTTTCTTTCTTTCTTATCTGTTCATCCCTTCCTTGTCTTCCCACTGCACGGTGCCCACCTGATAAAGCTCCAGGAATTAGGGATTAAATCATTCCAGCCCTGCTCATTCCTGTCCCCATTAGGCTTTAGGGGGAAGTTCAAGAGGACAAGGTTAGAATTTGCCTCCATGCCCAACCCTGCTGCCCTCCCTGTGACCATCACGGGGTCAGAAAGGGGCAGAAAGCCCCAGCCTGTCCTGCTCTCAAACCAAACCTGGGCCACCAGCACTCATTAATTAATGAGAAATCAAACTCTGATCTCTCTTGGCTAAGGGGGTTTTACCTGTCCCAAGGGTACCTCGGTGCCTGTCTTGTTCAAATCCTCTCAGCATCCACATTTAAATGGGAATTTTACTCTCTGAGTGAGATGGAGCCTACGAGGGACATCCAAGGAACTAGAGGATGGAAATAGAGAGGGAATGGAGGGGAGGTGGCTGCTCACAGTGTGGAGGCATCTACAAACAAGCCAAAGCAACCCCAGCAGCAGAGCCAAGAGAGAAACAAAGCGTTACCTTGCCAGGGATATAAAGTGCTCAGAAGAGATCTGATCTTCCACGAAGTTACCTGAGAGTGTAATTTCGTATGTGCTACCAAAATAGACTGCAGAGCAGTTAATGTGTTTGGATTATCTAAATGGCGTGGCAAGAAAGTCAATAATGGAAGGAGAAATTAAATCAAGTCAGAGCTGGCCCAACAAATGGTGCAGAGAATCCTTGCAGCTGTGGAAGGCAGTGCCCTGCTCCTTCCCCTTGCCTTTGGGGGTCTCACGTTGGGTTTGGGGGCAGCTGAGCCTCCCCAAAACAGCCCCACGAGTTTTCAGTGAATTCAAACCCTCTGGGCGAGGTCAGAGATGAATCGCTGGTGGTGCAGCAGCAGCCTGATGGAAATGGCTCCCTCGGGGAACGGGAGAGGGAGGATTGCCATCCCGCACGGGGGCAGGACCGCGCCGCGCACCAGCTCCGTCATGCTCTGCTCCGGGGGGATTGGCCAAGATGCAAAAAAAAAAAACCAAAAAAAAAACCAAAAGAAAAGAAAAGAAACCGAGGGAAACCGAGGCACAGCCCCACACCCCCCACCACGAGCAGAGCCCTTTGCTGACGGGCCAGGTCCAGGGATGCAGAAGCAAAAAGGGGTGCAAGTGCTGGCTTTGCATAAGCCCGAGCTGCCGCTTATGCAAGCGCCACCCACACGCCCGCTCTGGGGACAGGATCCTGAAGCGCTCAGGCCACGAGCAGCATGGCTCCCGCCAGTAACCCTGGGCAGGACTAATCCCAGGAGGAATGCTGCTGGTGGCAGAAGCTTGGCAGGATCACCCCTGGCTGTGTGGAGCTCATCCCTCGCGGCCGGGCGCGGCACCAGATGTCCAGCGGGGCATCTCTGCCTCCGGCCGGGATGCGTGTGCTGGCACCGGTGGCCAGTGGCCAGTGGCATCAGAGCCAGGGCCACCATGGTGGTTCTGAGCCTACCTAATTTTTGCATGCATGCACGAAGCCTTTCTTCAAGATTTGACACTCTGTTCTGAAGCTCTTCGTAGTCATAGGCGCCAATCTCCTCCTGGAGTTCGTTTAGAACTGACGTCAGATTCTGGACCTCCTCTTTAAACTGCAATACCAATTTGGCATCGGCTTTGTACTCTTCCAACACTGGTATCAAAGGCCTAAGTTCCTCCATTTTCGCTTTTATTGCCTGCAAGGTTAAAATAAGCTCGGTTCAGTGCTATGCGTGCAAAAATCTGCAACACTCTGCCTTGACCTGGGTGCTTCCTATGGGAGCGAAATGTTCACATTTCCCACAATTATTAGCATTAAAATTAGCTCAATTATTATTTTTGGTCCGAATGATGTCTTGGCAAGAACATATTAAACAGGCTGCAGAACACCAAAATATTTGGGAAAGGCCTTTATTTGTCATTTTTAGAATGCAACATCTTAGGGTTACATGCTTCAGATCACATACACAAAGAGTTGTTGTTTTTTTTTTTCTTTTTTTTCTTTCCAAAAAATAAAAGAAAATAAGATATATATGCATTGACAAGGGTTTCAAACTATTCATGAAATGCATCTACAATTGCATGCAAAGGAAGATCTCGGTTGTGTGGTTCAAGGTTCCTTAGTGAGATATGGTGCTAATTTGGAAAATAATAAAAAAAAAAAAAAAAAAAATCAATGCATGGTGCAAAATGCTCTGTGGCCCTCTTTTCATGGTTACATGGGAGTGAACTGCTTCTTCAGTCACTGCAGCATTGAAAAAACTTGCTTTTTAGTTAGCCCTGTAAGCAAGAAAATGAAATACTGTTGAGGATCTAGCTCACTAACCTGCCTTATATAGATAGCCATTCATAGACAAATACTCTTACGGCACTAAAGAGAGAAAAAAAACCAACACAAGAGCTCCAAAGCACTCACAGTTTAATGCTGGCATTAGCAGGAACAAAATGCTGTGGCTGTTCTTTCAAATGCTGCTTTGGCAGCAAATTAGACAAAAAATTCCTCACTGGTTTCATGCGCGGAACAGAAAAATAAAATTCATTATCAAATGGATTTTACACAAATGAATTTCTTTTTTCTTTTTTCTTTTTTTTTTTTTTCTTTTTATTTCTTTTTTCTTTTGGCTTTTTGCTCATTTAAAAGGCTCAGAATGCAGCATTTTGTTGCAGATGCTTTGCTCCAGCAGTTAATGAGTAGACATTAATATGCATGCACCTACCCGTTAATGAAGCGTGTTAGAACACCCAAAATCCCTGGTGCTGCTCAAATTACAGTGGCCAAGCTCCCAGCACCCAGGGCTGTGACATCTGCCTGTGTCCTGAAGCTTTTTGGGGCTGAACAGGATCAGGAATTCCTCCTCAGCCTCCTTCCCATCCATCCCCTCCTATTTAAGCCTTTTTTTTTTTTTTTCCCCTCCTGTGCTTTGCATGTGGGGAACGCTTTAATTTTATTTCATTTTAACTTCCCTGGCAGGCAATGGGGAGGGTGGAACTCATCAGAACGGTGTGTGTGTGGGGGAAATCAATAATAACTGAGATAAAGAAATAATTAAATAAAAGAAACTCATGCTCAAGTCTTTCCATCCAGACTGCAGAGCTAAATTTAGGGTCCTGCAGTAGCTGGAGATGGGGAGCGGAGGAGGTGGAGTTGGTGAAAAGTTTTATGAACCATCTTCCCAGATTTTTATGAGATAATCGTGGTATTTCAGTATTTAGCATTTAAAAAATCTGCTTTAAAATACCAGCCAGCTGCCTGCAAACGAGGGTGGGGATCAGCTGGGTGGCTGATCAGAAAAATCCCCAAATTCCACCAGAAATCTTTTCAGTTTGATTTTTTTATACCAATTATCCCACAGCACTGCTAAAATATAAGATTCCAATATTGCTCAGAACATCTTTTTTGGCAATTTCATTCATCCTCAAGCAACTTCCTGAGGGTTTGGCCACTGCTCCCAGTGCCAGCTGCATTCCAGAGGCTGCAGCTCCAATCCCCCTCTGCCCAGCACCAGGACACCACACCAAACCCATCAGAAGGTGCTGCCAACACCCCAAATTGGACAAAATCCTGGAGATGTGCAGTGGACAGCTGTCATAATTGTAATTTTTAATTTTTTTTTTTCTTTTTTTCAGGGGGGATGGTGTTTGATTGATGAACTCCTTTCTCCAGCCCTCCCCAGGGGAGATGTGGTTTGGTGACTGTGGTTCACCACGAGCTGCAGGAATGGGAAGGGAGCCCCAGTTCTTGGGTTTTCCCAAGAAATGGGTGCTGGGCACGGCATGGAGAAGCTGCCTGGGCACCCAGGGGAACCCACCTCACCCCCCTGATGGGATCACCCTGCACTGCCCCACTGAGGGCACCCAGCTGGGTGTGGGAACACGGAGATTTGGGCTTTTACCCCATAACAAGATGCAGGGCTGAGGATGTGGGGTCACAGCCTGGACCTGGCTGTGTTTTGGCCAGCAAGGACCCCAAGCTGTTCCCCTGAAAGGGCACCAGGGCCACAGTGCTGTCCCCATCCCAACAATTCCCTGGCACAGCTCCTGGAGCAGTTTGGAAATCAGACCTACCTTAAACTGCCTTGCCAGGTGCTGCTTGTGGCTTTCTTCCACTTGCTTAAATTTGGATTCCAGTCCCCTCATCTGGTTTTCCATCTTCTCCACGTACTGTAGGTCTCTCTGAGTCCTCCTGTCCAGCACCTCTATCGACTGGGACATGTTTTGCACCTGTCAAACGAGAAGGGACTCATTAAGAAGGTGCTGCCAGCTGTCAGGCAGCCCCCCTTGCATCCCAAGGCTGACCTTTTCCACACACTCAGCACAGCTAAAGGCCAATCAGCCCATGCATTATTTACTGCTTCATCAACAGCAGCTCCCAGGTTACGACCCCGTGCTCTAAAACATAGCAAAATCGGTTTCATAAACGATTTTCTTTTTTTACTGCTGCGCTGCAGAGAAGAATTCAGCAATCTGACATGGAAATGAGGGGCGTTGTTGAGGTTAAAATGCTTTTCTCAGGTTGCCAGGGGCACGGGGAGAGCTCAGAGGTGACAGCAGCACACCTGGCTGGGAGGAAAAGCTTCTGCCCAGGTGCACTTGTGCACATTTCCATCTCCCCGTGAGCTCAAACCTCACTCCCCACCAGCCACCACCCAAACAGCCACCACAAACCCAGCAGCAGGGAGAGAATCCTGGAGCTGGGGAGCACCAGGCATGGTTGGTAGCCCAGCAGTGCAGGAGCTGGCCCGGCCAGGGGAAAGGTGCCAGGAGCTTGGCTGGGCTCTCAGTGAGAAAACCGAGCTGAAGGTGTGAGCAGGGGAGGGGAACGCCAGCGAGGCTTGACCTGATTTTGAAGGTTGGCTGCCATCTGATTTATGGAGATATTCCCTCCTGTTCTCCAGGCTGGGAGAGGGGCCCTGACGTCAGCTCCTCTTTTCCACTGAGCCATATTTCAGGGTTTTGCAGAGGGGCTGGACGTGTTTGTGACACGGTGGGGACGTGACGGGGCTCAGCCCACGGGTGCTGCTCCTGCCACCGCCACGTCACCCCCCCAGCAGTGCCACCACCACGGTGACGTCCGTGGGGACAGTGACTCAGGCACCCAGGCTGCTCCCAGCCAAACCTGGGCAGGAGCCAGCCCTGTCCCCTGGATGTCACATCCCCTCCTGTCTGCGTCCTCGTCACAGCTGAGCTGGCACAGGGAAGGAAGGAGAGACGCGAGTGGCATCACTCTGCAATGTCACCATCATTTCCTCTGGCAAATCCCACCGTGAGGGGCTGGCACTCACCTGGAGTGGCAGAGTGAGGGCATGGCAGGACACCTGTGCCAGCAAATGCCAACTGTGGGAGCTCCAGCTTGGAAAAACCATCCCAAAACCCGCTGCTCACTCAGGATGGCACCGAAACTATTGCAGGGATCTACTAAAAACGCATGGATGAGCTGCACGGCAAAGGCCAGCAGGTTTTGGAGAGTTCTGTACAACTGCTCCTCAGCAGAGGTGAAGCTCTTTGCAGTCTCTGAGCCTCAGAGATGAACCAGAACCTGCTGACCCCCCCCCAGGACCTGCTCAGGGAGCTGTGAGGAGCAGGGAAGAGCAGAACAAGGTTTGGAGGAGAAAAAAGCAAACCTGAGCTCAGCCTGGTCAGCTCCCATTAAGCTGTGCCTCCCGCGGGGAATGTGAGCTCTCAGTGGGTGTTAATTCACCTGGGCTGGATGTGGAGGAGCTTGAAGACCTCTCTGTGCCCTGAGGCAGGAGAAGGGAAGCCTTTGACAAGCCTGGCTGGGCTGCCAAGCTACTTTTATTCCAGTTACCCAGCCTATCGTTCGAGTCGAGCAGCAGAATTGTTCCGAGGAGCAGACAGAGGGACGACTCCTAGGGCTCATGCAAAATTAATCCCATTTATTCCATTAGTGCCTAACCCCAGCTGCAAATAGTCAGAAAAGAGCATTTCTGTAATGACAGACCAAGATCTGAGTAAAATTTGGGGGGGCTCCTTAGGCTCTTAGGAGATGAGGAGGGAGAGACACCTCTGCTCTCAGAGCATCTCGCTCAGGCTGCTGCCCTCAAACACCTCTGCAATGGCTCTGCTCCTCCCTGAAGCCGAGGAAAATAACCTCCTCACGTGCCTCTGCCTAAAATTAGCCGCTGTGCTATTCTGGGGTGGATTTTACAAGCCCAGAGTGGGTATTTGTTGCCCGTGTTGTTTTCCATCAGGCAAGATCCGGGCCAGATTTGTAGGGAACGAGTGTGAGATCCCTGACAGCCCCTGTGCTCCAGCAGCTGAGGATCTGCTTGTTTTCCCTCATTAGCATATTATGCCCTTGATCCACCAAAGTACTTTGGCACATGATTAGGTTTCAATGAGCCTGTTGGAGCTCAGGCTGAAGCATGTACAGAAGTGCTCTAATGAACTCAGGCCCAAGGATAGTGCCTCTTAAATTCCCTCAGCTCCATCCATCAGCTGCAGCCCTCAAACATCTCCTGGAAATGCTTTTTCTGCCTCTTCTCTCTCAGCCTGAAACCTCATTTTCACCGAGATAATGTGAGACAGATACCTGTGGCTGTCTGGGGGAAAAGAGTTATTTTTAGCAGTAGAAATAGGAAATTAATACAAATGAAGCTTGCAGTGCTGCTCTTGTCATCCTGTTTGACGAGTTGATTCACAATTAAAGCAGAGTAACAGGGAGTCAGTATTGGCCTGGTGACCTCAGTGAGGTTTATAAGGTCAAATCCATGGTTTAAACCCTGCTCAAGCCTCCCTGTGGGTCAGCTTTTCCTGCCAGCTTTGGGGTTTGAGCTGGGATGAACCCTGGGATGAACTGATGCAGCAACAGCAAGAGGATTCTTGAGGGAGATTTTCAAGGTCTAGGGGAAAAACCAGCAGAGAAACGGGCTCAGCTGATGGTTCAGGATAGAAAAGTTCATCAGATAAGGTTTGCAGGAGGCACTGATGGCTGAGATGCCCCTGTCCCCATGTGCACACCTGGGGGTGACCAACAGAGCAAAAAAAAAAAAAAAAAAAAAGTTCAATCTGGAAATCAGCGCTGGCTGAGAAGAAGGATTGGCAGGAAACCAGAAATGGTTTCACCATCAGAGGAGGAAGTTATCCCTGATAACAGGGCCAGAACAAATAAACAAATAAATACAATTCTGTCTGGAGATCAAACACAACGTGATGACGAGCAGCTCTGAGGTGATGCCTTGGTTTGGGGTGCAGTCCAAGGTCTGGGCTCAGCACCTGCCACGTGTAAGGCTGGAAGGACTCGGTGTACCCCGGCCAAGGATGAGCTCAGACACCTCGAGTGTCAAACCCTGAACACTCTGTGCAGCCCTGCCTGCCCTCCCCTCCCCTCTTTCACCTGTCAGGATGCCCAGCACTCCTTTCCAGCCACGGGAGCTGCAGTTCCTACACACACACATCCTCACAAACTCAGCACGGATGGATGGCAGCTCTGAACCTCAAAATTCCGAAAGATTCTGCATGGAGATTGGCCCTGAAAATGCTGTAATTGCTTTGTGTCCACACAAATGCAGCATCCCTGCAACACCTCATCATTTCCATGGGTGAATTCCTTGGAAAATCCAAACACAATTCCCCTCTTGACACATTGTGCTGCTTCCTCTGCTGCCAGGGAGAAACCAGGAGCTGCAATTTTTTCCCCATCACAAAGCAAGGGTTAGAACGCCAGGTGAGGGAAGGAGTTTTTCAGGATTGAAATCTTTCCTGGGAAGCTGGAAGCTCTGCCCTGCAGTTGTTTTCACCTCCAGGGATTATCAGTTCAGCCTCCATCAAGATCAGATGTCTGGCACTAAGAGCCCATTCCTTATTTTGGGGTTTTTCATATAGGTTAGCGTGGGAGTGAGATGCAGGCAGATTAGCAGGCAGGTAACATATCCCACAACACATGCCCAGAAATCCTGCTCCTCCCTCACTTTTTATCCATTGGCAGCCAGAGAGCTGCATTAAAAAAAACCCCACTGAGCACTTCCACCCTCCTGATGTTATCCCAGGTCTCCCATTCCCAACTCCTGCCCATCAGCAGAGGGCATTGGGTCAAATCCTGATTTTTTTTTTGGAGTTTATGAAGAGTTCTGGGAACATCTCTGAGCTGTTCATAAATCCTGCTGCCTCTCAGGAGCAAATGCACCCAGGGCATTATTGCTGTGAGAAAGGAAAGCTGGAGTTGGGATTATTTTTAGCAGCTTCTGACAACCCAAAGAATTGTTTTAGGGCTGAGTGTTTCCTGGCTGGCTTTATTGTCCTCAGCACATGGGGAAATCAGTTAAGTGGAGGTTTAATATTGTTAGAGGGAATTAATACAGCAGCTTCCCCCAAAGCAGCAGGATGAAAATTCTTTTGTCATGCACGGCACAGGCCAATATAGCATTAGGGGATGGGGTTTAATTATATATCCAACACAGGAGCCAGCTCATATTTGCAAGAGAAGAGCACAAATTCACATGAAACAGCATTTCTTCACTGAAATCTATTATCTGGAAAATTTCTTGTTATTGGGGATGTTTCCCTAATGAGATTCTTTGATCTTTTTGGACAGCAGACTATTAAAAACTAATCAAGAGGATGTCAACGTTAGGAAGAAAACCACGGAGTGTCATCTCTGTGCTACCTGCTGCTGACAGCTTGCAGGGTTTTACTTGACCTTTTTAATGCCACCTTGCCTAGGAAAGCTTGGCTTTGGGCTTTTAATTCTCTCTCCTCTCCTGTTGCTGAGTCTGCTTTGAAACTGCTTGTGCCAACGGAATGAAAAAAGGGGCTTTTTTATTTTATTTATTTATTTTTTTTTTTTTTTAGAGATACAGTTCAATATTGGTGCTTTGATCTCAGCAGTTTTCCCTTGACCTTAGGGCAGGCTTTCCTCCCAGAAAACACTTAAGAGATTTCTCCTGCTGCCTTCAGCTGCACACACAGAGACAACTACAGCACAGAAAAGCCACCCCAAGGGATTTTCCCTGGAAAACAAGGCTCAGCTCAGGTTTTTACCCCATCAAACCGAACCATTTTTGCCAGGAGGGGTCGAGCATTACCTTTTCTAGGAGTTGTCTCAGCTGCTTTGTCCTGGCATCACGCGAGCACATCGTCTGCTGAGGTGCCACCACTGTGCATATACAACGTCCCTCGCTGTCCTGGGCAGAGCTGTACACCTGCCAGCTTTCCTCTGGGTTGGTAGGCAACACCTAATTAACACAGGGAAACATGGGTTAATTAAACAGGCAGAGCTGTGGGGAAACAGGATGGACGTGGCAGAGCTGTGCTGGAGACTCCTCCGAGGGCCCAGCTGGCAAAATTCACTTGGAATGCAAAAATATGGATTGGGGACGAATGAAAGAAGGGTCTGGAAAGGAGAGCAAGAGCTGAAAACACGAAGGCAACGCAAATGGGAAAACGTGGACACATGGAAAGGCAGAATTGGGAGAATTCCGGGCGCTGAGCACATCGGGGCGGGGACTTGGTGCCCTGCTGGGGTGACAGAGCGCTTGGAGTGTCCTTTACAGTGGGACACGGAGGTGGCCGAGCCCCCGGGGAGGGCACAGGGTCCTGCCGAGGGCCGGGCACTGCTCCGTGCCCCCAGAGCCCTCCCGGGCCGGCAGCCGGAGCTCAGCTCTGCTGGGTGCACGGCCACTCCTTTTCACTCCTGTTCTCCATCACAATTCCCCCTTTTCCCTGCCAGGTCCTGAGGGGATGAGGAGCTTCCCAACCAAGCACTTCCCTCCATTCCTGTGCAGAATTCCAGCAGGGATGATGGGATGCAGTCCTGAGGGCACCAGCCGTGCCCGAGCATCCAGGACAGCACATTCCCCTCGTGCTCTCCAAACCTCTCTGGTCTTAATTCTCCTTTATTTAATCCATTATTTAATCCCAACCCAGCCTCGGAACACTTCGAAGGTGTCCCCAAGCAGAAGTGGAAATGTTCTTTCCACCGCTTCACTCCAGAACAAATCACCTTGCAAATGCCCACGTTTGACAGACATGCCCAGGCAGACGCACAATTGGATTCCCTGGCTAAACCAACCGGGGGAAAGAAAAAATAATAATAAATGGATCTCATAAACCCTGACAACGTGGAAAAAAAAAATAAAATAAATCCCAGCTTCCTTCGCTCAGCAGCACAAGCACTACACGGAATACTCCGGGAGCAGCAGAGCTGCATAGCGGAGCTCCGTGCAGCCTGCAGGAGGAAGGTGCCCGATTTTCCCTGCCCAGGAAAGACAGACAGACAGACCGGGATGATTTTCCCCGCCATTCCCACAGTGGGAAGCTGCAGCAGAGCAGGGACAGGGGATGTCCAGCCCTTCACGGCGACATCCCGGCTGCATCTCCATCGCAGCGAGGACGGATCGCGGAGGGAGCGCAGCGCAGGAGCCTCCCGGGACCCGCACCCGCTCTCCCCGCGCCTCCCGAGCGGCCACCAGGGAAACTTTGCGTCCCTTTGGCTGCGGGAGGAGCACCCGGCTCGCCCCCAGCCATGAACGAGGCATGGCTGGATTAGAGAGATGCTCCCTGCAGCGTCACCCCCATCTCCTGTGCCCTGACCGCCCCATCCCCGCTCCCGCAGCACCGCGGGGACACTTGGCCGCGATGTCCCCGCGATCCTGCCCCTCCCCGGGGCGCTGCGGCTCCCGCAGGGGGGACCCTGCTGGCCATGGGGACACCTGGGCAAGGAGAGGGGGGACACCCGGGCGGGGAGGGACGGGGCGGCGGTGGCGGGGATGCTCCGGGAGCTTGGGATGCTCCGTGAACCTGGAATGCTGCGGGATGCGGAGATGCTCCAGGAACCTGGAATGCTCCGGGATGCTCCGGGATGCGGAGATGCTCCGGGATGCGGGGATGCTCCGGGATGCTCCGGGCAGCCCTCCCTGTGCCCCGCCGCCCCCCCCGCACTTACTCCCGTGCTGCGGTCCAAGGTGCCGCCCGTGGCCGCCGTGAGTTTGGTGGTGTTGAGCCCCACGAGGGAGGGCAGCGTCTGCGACATCCAGTTGGTGATCATGGCCATGGTGCTGAGGACGACTCCAATCTTGAGTAAAGGCACAGACATGTCTGCGGGGGGGGCGGCAGGCACCCTTCATTCTGCACCGGCGCCGGGCTCCATGCCGCTGGGTTCGGGCTGCGCCAGCCGCCCGGCCGCCGCCGCCGCTCGCCGCCGGCCCATCCTCCTCCTCCTCCTCCTCCTCCTCCTCCTCTTCCTCCTCCTCCTCCCTGCCGCCCTGCCCGGCTCTGCCGCTGTGCCCGCTGTGCCCGCTGTGCCCGAGCCGAGCGGGGCCGGTCCCTGCGCCCGCCGCCGCCGGAGCGAGCGGCTGCAGGAGGAGGGACCGGAGAGGGGCGGGGAGCGCCCAACCCAGCCAGGGACACTGCGGTGGGCGAGGGAGGGAGAGGGAGGGGACAGCGGAGTGCAGGGAGGGAGGTTTGGGGATGGGGGAGAGCGGGGAGGGAGGGGAGAAAAGGTTTGGGGAGAAGGGAGTGGGAGGAGAGAAAAGGGAGGGATGGAAAGAGGGAGAAAAGATTGATGGAGAAAAGATTTGGAGAGAAAAGGTCTCCAAATAAAGGATCTTGGTGGTAAAAGATCTTGGGAAAAAGGAGTGAAGGGAAGAAGAGAAGAAAAATTATGAGGAGAAAAAAACTGGGGATAGGGAAGTGGAGGGAAGGAGAGATAGAGAAATATGGGGAGAGAAGATTTGGGGAGAAAAGGTTTGGGGAGAAGGGAATGGGCGGAGAGAAAAGGGAAGTGGAGGGATGGAAAGAGGGAGAGATACGGGAGAAAATATTGATGGAGAAAAGATTTGGAGAGAAAAGGTCTCCAAATAAAAGACTTTGGGCGTAAAAGGTCTTGGGAAAGAGGACTGAAGAGAAGAAGAGAATAAAAATTATGAGGAGAAAAGATTCGGGGACAGGGAAGGGGAGGGAAGGAGAGATGAAAAATATGAAAAGATTTGGGGAGCAAAGGTTTGGGGAGAAAGGATTTAGGGAGCAAAGATTTGGGGAGAAAGGAGTGGGAGGAGAAAAAAAGGAAATGAGGGATGGAAAAAGGAAGAGATGCGGGAGAAAAAATTGGTGGAGAAAAGATTTGGAGATAAAAGATCTCCAAATAAAAGATCTTGGGAAAGAGGAGCGAAGAGGAGAAGAAAAATTACGGGGAGAAAAGATCTGGGGATAGGGAAGTGAGGGGAAGGAGAGATGAAAAAATATGGGGAGAGAAAATGTTTGGGGAGAAAAGGTTTCTGGAGAGGGGAAAGAATTTGGGAGAAAAGGTTTGGGGAGAAAGGAAAGAATTGGGGAGGGGGGAGAGATTGAGCACAAACAGGCGTGGGAAGAGAGAGAAAGGTTTGGGGAGAGGGAAGAAGATTTGAGGAGATAAATTGGGTGGGGGAGAGGAATGAGGAGAGCGGGAAAATTGGGGAGGAAGTGGAAGGGGTTTTGGGGAGGTGGAAGAGATTTTGGGGAGGTGGAGGAAGGGGTTTTGGGGAGGTGATGGAAGGGATTTTGGGGGGCTGGAAGGGATTTTTGGGGCGCGGTTCCCCCGCTGCGGCGCTGTGGCGCCCTCTGGCGGCTGCGGGCGGCGCTGCGAGCCGGGGTCGCTCGGTGACAGAGCGGGGACAGAGCGGGGACAGAGAGGGGACAGAGCGGGGACAGAGAGGGGATAGAGAGGGGATGGAGCGGGGATTGAGAGGGGACACAGCAGGGACATCGCGACCGTGCCACGACCAAGGAGCCGGAGCAGTTCACCGCGGTGCCAGCGCGGGGTGAGGGGACCCCTGAGTGTCCCCTGTGTGTCCCCAGGTCCAAGCGGGCTATCAGAGCATCCCCCACACCCCGCATTGTCACCTCGCCACGTCCTGCCACCACAGCAGCTCCTGAGCACGAAGCATCAACCGAACCTCAGTGCCAGCCCTGCCTGCCCCGTCCCTGCTCCCGCCTCATTCCCTGCAGGAATTCCCTGCCCAGGGCTGCAAAGGGCACACGCAGCCTGTCTGGCCAGCCTGGAGTGTCACCTGGGCTCGGTCACCGCTCAGGTGTCCCCAAGCCATTTGCAGAACTGCCTCGATGGCTTCAGAACCAAAATCTGCCACCAGCACAACTCCACAGTTCCTGCATCTTCCCCAAGAGAACTCTCTGTGCAAAGCATGGCAGAAATGAACGCCCTGTCCCTCTCCAGGGGACAGCAGTGCCATCCCCTGCTCTGTGACACAGCCCCAGCCTTGCCGTGGGTGCAGGAGAGCCTCGACTGCTCCATGGCCTGGCCCTGGGAGCCACCAAATTCCCTCTGGAGTCAGCCCAGCCCCAGACCTGACCCCTCAGAGCTGCTGTGCCAATGCTGTTCATTGTCGGGGTGGGGGTTTTGTTGCCCCAAAACCCTGACCCAGCAGTGCCTGCTCCCGTCCAGCACGCGGTGATGTGCAGAGCAGGGAAGCAGGAAGCCCCAAAATGCCATCCCTGCTGAGCTGGGCTGTCCCACCTCACCAGGACCTTGTCCCTCGCTGGGGATGTGGGATCAGCCCAGCACGGGCGGGCTGGGCAGAGGGAGCAGGGCCAGCACAGCCCAGTGGAGCTGCCCGTGCAGGGAGCTCTCTGAAATAAAGCACATTTAACAGTTCCAGCAGGTGGAGAAATGGAGATGAGTTTGAGCAGGAGCAATGCTGCCAGGCTGGATCCTGTCCCTGTGACAAACCCGTGGCACAGCAGGGCACTGGGTCAGGCTGCAGCAGCTCAAACCCCATCCCTTCCCCATCCCTTCCCTCCCAGCACCTCCATCCATTGCCACCCTGCTGCAATCAGCAATGAACCCCACACTTTGTCCTGCTTTGGGATTATTACATCAACACCTCCACTGCATGGATCAGCCTCTCCCAGCCCAGGTATCTGCATCCCTCCCACAGCAAAACTGCTGCAGGGTCAGCACCCAGCAGCTGCTTCAGCCTGGGGGGGCAAGAACAGCAAATCCTTGGATGGTTTCCAGCTTTTAGGAGGAATCTCTAGGATTTCCTAAGAGCTCCCTGCTCTCCCAGGTGCTGCTGCTGTGCTCAGCACTGTGACAGCCCAGGCCTTGATTGCTTCTCTGGTTTCCCATCACATCCAACACCCCAGTGCTGCACTTCAATCATCCCAAAGTTCATTTGGGAATGGAGTTTGTCAGTGAGGTTTATCCCTCATATTTATCTGCTCCAGAATTAGTCCTGTGGAT